AGAGGCCTCTTCACCTCAAGCTCAAGGCCAGTCTGGATTTCACAGGGAGACACTGTCTTCAAAAATAAAGAAAAAAAGAATGTATCTATCATGTAAACTGATTTTTTTCTTGTCCAGTTTAAAAAACAATGCTAGCAATTCTACCTGTGGCATTTGAGCCACAATATGATAAACCTATATGCATTCAAATATCTGCCGAAAATCAAACTGATTTCATGTAGTCTCCAACCTCTTCACTGTTTATTTCAGTATGATCATCCTAAATATTTATATATTGAAATGTAGTTTTGTTATGCCTTTTTGGTAATATGAAATTATCAACAAGATTGACAGAGTACTGAAAAATTTGAGCATGGTGCAAATTTCACATTTGTGGATGTGCAATTTCCTGAATCATTAGGAAACATGAAGTGAATGAAGAAACTGCACTCAGCAAAACTGAGCTACTGAGGCATTTACAATACACACAATGCACACATCTTAAGAGCTCAATGAACCACACATTCAAATCTACTGTTGTTACACCAGGCTCATGACTTCTTTGCAGTGTGTCACAGCAAATCATACTGTGACTCGTTCCAGTGCAAACTTTGAGACAAAATGCTATCATAGCATTTAAGCACTTAATGTGCAAAACAGTGCTATTTTTAAATTTCTTTTTCTTAATGTGTCACTGATGAACTTGAGTTTTATAGTCCTAACTCATTCCCCACCTAAGTCCTGTTTAATTCTGCATAAAACTGATTCTTAAGAAGCATGTTTTGTTTAGGCACTATATTTTAACATAAATCCCTTGCAACTTCATACAGGCAGAAAGTGTGGGTTTTTAAGATTAAATATGCAGAACATTATGTCATTTTGATAGTCAATCAATTTTTTTGTTTTGCTTGGTATTTGGTGTCACATCTAAAAAAAAATTCATGGGCCCAAGATACAGCTCAGCAGCACAGTGCCTGCCTGGCAAGCATAAGGTCTCAGGTTCAATTTTTGGTACCAAAAGAAAAAAAAAAGCAAAATTCAAAGAGATTTTTTAGAAACTATGGATCTCAGAGAACTTACTGTTATCCCAAAATGTTTGCCTTAAAGTCTTCTTTATGTATTAATATAGTTAGTACAACAATATTCTGGTATCCGTGGGTGTATCATTGTCCATCATTCTAGTTCCCAGCAGGTTTCTCATAGACAATATATAGTTAGTTGAATCTCTCTTTTTTCTCTCTTCTTTTTTTGTACCAGGGATTGAACCCACAGCCTTGCGCTTACCAGGCAAGTGCTTGAGCAACTGAACTAAATCCCTGGCCAGGGTCTTGCTTTTTAACTCAATCTGATAACTGCTTCTAACTAATCTGGTCACATTTTAAACTGATTAGTCTTTTACATTTATTCCATCTGTTGTCCACTATCTTCTCTTTTTTCTGCTTTTTACTAAACATGTATTTTTAAGTTCTTTTTTATTGCTGTATTTACATCATATACATATATTTTTAATTGTTCTATAGTTACAATATACATTTGTACTTAAGTCTCACTTCAAATAATAAGGTTTATGTGGAGCACTTCCTTTATATTAATGTTTTATTTTCTACCTTTACATATGTTACATACACTATTTTCCCTATACTAGATCCTTTAGAACAATTAAAAATAAAAAAATTAAATTTTATTTCATTGCCAGTATTCATTTCTGGAGATCCAAGCTTCATCCATTTAAAGAATTTTTTGAAACATTCTTTATACAGCAGATATACCAATGTCAAGCTTTCTCAGCTTTTGTTTCAGTATATCTTTACTTCATTTTCACCTGAAAGATGTTTTGCTGGATACAAATTTGGGGTTGACAGCTTTTTCTTTCAGTAGAGTTGTCAGTCCTTTTGCTTGCATTCTCTGTTGTAACTCTTACCTGTTTTTTTCCCCTACTTTCAAGATTTTCTCTTTACCCCTTTTTTCCTTTAGTTTAAATGTGATACTCTTACATATCTCTTCCATGGGCGGGTTATCTTGCTTGTATTCTCTAAGCTGTTTGGATCTTTGTTTTACCAATAATATTGGAAAATCTCCTCCAAAACTTATTCTGTTCTCTCTTCTGGGATTTTAACCATGCATACATTAAAATCACTAGTTTTAGTGGTTTTTTTAAACCATGTTTTTGTGGTGCAGTGGAAATTTCTACTGACACCTGTAAGTTCTGATTCTTCTCTTAGCTGTGACAAATCCACTAGCGCAAAGGAATTGTACATTTCCTTACAGTTTTTCATTTCTAGAATTTTATCAGTTTCTATCTCTGTTGAATTTACTTATTTAATTCTGCATTTTGTCCGTTTCTCTGTTTCAACCTTTAAACAGTTTAAATTCCCTGTTAAATATCAGTATCTATGTCAACCAGAGTGCATTTCTGACAATAACTCTTTGTTTGGGGAATTTCTATTTTTTTAAAACTTTTTCATATGTCTTTCAAAAATGTGTTTGTTGAAAACTAGACATGTGATATAGGATAGCTGAGCTGGAGGCCTCTTTGCATAATCTTGTGCCTTTCCCAGTAGATTTCTGTGATTATGGTTACTTATTCAAAGCTCCTTAGCACAGTGGCAAAGGGTGAGGGATGCAGTCTGTTCTGATTGAGGTTCAGTCTAAGCATGCAGTAAGTATAGCCTTCTTGATTCTGACTCTACCGACTGTAGTGCTGGGTGCAGGGCCCCTCTCCCATGCATGATATTTTTATATCACATCCCATAGCTTAGTGAATGTTCGCAGTGGAACCAACAAGGTTACCTTTACCTCCTCAGATTAAAGTTTTGTTTCAGAACAGAACCAAAGAAGAAAAAAATCAAGCAGTTTCTTGACTCTCATAACAGCCCTGCCACTTTTCCTCTCCATTAGGTCTGCATAATAGATACACCCCAGGTTGTGCTCTTTCCAACCTTTCCAGGCATATAATCAGTAAAGCTTGTGGATAAAGAATTAGCAAGGTAGTGTACTCAGTCTTCATCAATTTATTGGCCATTCTAACAGGATTCTTTGCAGCTGACCAAACCAAAGGAGACCAATTATGCATATTTTAAAAGAGTTACAATTTTCTGCTATAAAAAGGGAACTTTAAAACACAAAACAATGCTGTCAATCACACCAGAGAGTCAGTGGGTGGTACCTAAAGGTGTTTGGCTTTTAAATGTTTTTGTTTATTTGTTTTTTGTTTTTGTGACGAGGTCTTAATGTGTAGCTTTGGCTGCCCTCAAACTCATGGCACTCATGGCGATGCCCCACTTCAGCTTGCAAATTCTGGGATTACAGTTGCACCACCACATCCCACTGACTTCTAAATTCTGAAAGCCTGATATATCCACCCCCTTTTCAATGCCATCACCACGTTTGTGTGCTTTGATCTCAGTACTGCTCTTTTCTGTCATTCTGGCACCTTTCTTGGTCTGTATTACACCTTTGTTAGCACAGACCTGCCCTGAGCACAACTTCCTATGATTGTCACTAAAAGTAGCTGCTTACTAAAAAATTAAAGAGCCAGACATGGTGGCCCATGTCAGTAATCCCAACACTTGGGAGGCTTGGGGCAGGTCAGCCTGTCTACACAAGCAAACCCTGTCTCAAAACAAAATTAAAAATGGGAGGCTTTAATGAATGTGATAAAGTTGAGAAATACTGAATCAAAAGCATATTTCCAAACAACTCCCCTTTAGCCACCATCAAACTATCACCGTTGTAAAAAAAGAATATCTACAGTCTCTCGGTGGAATACAAATATCATTATTTTCCAAGAAATGAACTCTGGTCTTCGGGTCCTTTGCACTCCTGTTTCTTAACAACCGACTCCTCTTTTCCTCCCTTAATATGTTCTACTTCCTGCTTTCAAATGAATGCGCAATGCTTTCTAAATGCTTTCTAAATAAAGACTGAAACATTTATTGAATGCATTGCTTTCTAAATAAAGACTGAAACATTTATTGAATGCATTGCAACATTAATGTCCGAGATATAGCTGCTTAGTTTCACATTATATTTAAAACATTAACAAGATTTCATTTTATATTCTAAATTAAACCAAACTACAAAGCACTTTCCAGACACCAAAGAACTGTGATCTACTTCTAGTCAGGATGTCTGACTAGTTTCTATTAATCTTTTTTTTGAAGGAAGTCTTGTTTCACACTACCTTTAACTCACTGTTTAATGATAATATACAGAAAACCTGACCACATACAAACACTGAATATAGATGTTACTTTCAAAGTAAGAAAGAAAATACTGAGAAAAAGACAATCAAGTCTTGAAGAAATAGCCTGAAATTTTACCTGTTTTCGAAGATGCTTTACTCGAAAACGCTCACAATATACTACCGTACAAAACTTTTCAGAGGATGCAAGAGTTTTAGGTAAAGACGCTTTTCAGGGGGAGGTAGTGTAGGGTAAAACGAAAATTAAAAAAAGGAGAGACAGGAAAGGAGAAATAATTATTTTGGGAGCCCATCAATGCATTAGGGGAGATTTTTACTGCCTTCTCCCAGCAACCACTAAAAGGAACAATCTCAAGACGAGTAATGATTAACTAAATACCCTACGATAAAGGAGAAATTTGAAAGACTCTTCTCAGGTGTAGTAAGTCTCAAATCTGCTTTAGTTTAACAGCCACTTCCCTAGGGATCAAAGTCTCCCCCCCCCACCCCGCCACACATACACACACACACTCCAAAAAGTACATTTAGAAGTGAAAGCGCAGCTAGTCAAGGAAAGACGACTGTGAATAAACTACTCTGCCGTAAGGAAAAGCCTAGGGGGAGAGCTTGGATTTTGGAAAAGGGAAGCACTGTAGAAGAGACGACGCAGTAGCTCCTTACAAAACGAAACATAGCTCAGCAAGATACTGAGCGAACGGGACGCTGGCAGAGAATCACTGACCCAACGAAACAAGTTGCCGGCATCCAGCCGGAAGGGTGCCCGGGCCACTTCGCTGCAAGGGAATCCCGAGGGCGGAGCCCATAGGGCCCTTCGGGTATGTGGGTTAAGGATGTCCTAGGGAAGCACGGTGGGCAGAGAACACAAAACCACGCAAAAAGTGGGGTGGGAATGAACAGGCGGGGCAATGCCTTGGACCAGTGTCACTCATTCGGGGAGGGTGTCACTCATTCGGAGAGGGTGGGCAGCGGTTCGACGCAAGGAACCAGGGGGAAGGTAATCTGATTCGCAAGCGGCGGTGGCCAAAACACCATCACCCTTTCCCTTACCCTGAGCCTCTCCAGTTCCCACAGAGTGGGAAAGAGGGAGGCAGAGTCCCTTAGTCCAGCGCCCGGTGTCGGCTTTACCTTAGCGGGAGGCTGGAACAGCTCCAGCCCGGGCTCCTCCCGCCACCGACTCAGCGTCCAGAAAGGGATGAGGCGCCCTCCGGCCTCCCTCCGTCACTACTTCCCCTTCACGCCCCTGGGGCCGCGTAACTCCGCAGCTGCGGGTTCCTGGTGCTGCAGCGCCGCTGCTTCCCCGGCCCACTCCGCTTCTTTCCTGTGCCTCTCAGAGGCTCACTCTGGAGGCAGCCATCTTCGCTCAGGTTTCGAGCGCCGCCCTCCAATACGCCTGCGTTGCCACCGCCCAGGCTGTCACGAGACCTAGTCAGCTGACTCCAGCGCTTCCGCTTTTTGTCCTGTCCGCGCAATTCCCAGCCCTCCGTGCGCCTCTCCGCTTCCGGGAAAGGCCGAGGTCTGTCGGGCCTAGCAGTTGCGCATGCGCAGAATACAGCGGCAGTTGCACGCCTGAGTCCGAGCTGCACGAGTGGGTCACGCCTCCTGGCACTTGCTAAGGAACATGTGGGTGCGCGGGAAAGACCAGCCCTCTGGACTTGTTCTCTCAAGGTCTGGGTCTTGTCTTGCTTTGTGCAGAAAATAGCTGTGTAGCTCTGAATTTTCGCTTATAATCCCCGAGTCCGAGTATGAAGCGTTAGTTGACCCTAGCCTTTAACTTCAAGTGCCATGGCGCATCCTCAGGGCATTGGGAAGCCTCAGCCCGCGCCCCTGTTTTAGCTGGTTTGGGAGCCAGCTTGTTTACTTGCTGTTGAGGCACCTGGAACAACAGCTGAGCAGGGTTTAATTTTGGGGTGGTCCAGGAGGTCATGGAGACCAAGGGCTTGGATCTGCCCAAGCCTTCGCTAATGTGAATGGACATGTCACAGTGTTCGTTCTCATTTATTTTCTGCTGGTCACGTATATGGAATAATACTTAATCCTTGATACACTGAGAGAGGAATTATCCCCGTTTTGTCCACAAATTGAAGTTCAGTCCCTCAGTAGTGAACTTGGTGTTTGAATGAAAGTAGTTTCTCTAGATTTTATCGCCTTCTCTAGATTTTATCTCCTTGAACCTACTATGAGAGATGGAGGGAGGAATCAAAATAGCCTAAAGAAAAAATACTGTGTTGGGAATAAATGAGGGTTCCACTGGAAATTATGTGTTATCTGTAGTCAATGGTTTAATTAAGAAAAGTCAGTGCCCCCTCCCGGATCTAGAAGGTAATGAACACAATTTAAAAATGAACGACTTTATTATAGTCCTCCCAAGGGATTGAACTGGACAAGCGTTCTCTCGCTGACCTATATCCCCAGACCTTAAATTTTGAGTCCCGCTAAGTTTCCTGGGCTGATGTCAAACATAGCCTTCTCAGCCTTGTAACTAGGGTTACAGGTGTGCACCACCAAGCTTACTCCGCTACAGACTTAAGACGTACAATGCAAGGTAACTTACAAACACTTTAAGTGTTAAAGTTGCCTGATAAGGAGTCTAATACACTTTATAGCAGTCCTGAATTTTTGATATCTTGGGGTCTCCTTCAGTGGTTGATTTCTTTTCCAAATGGTGATTGCAGGGTGAAAAGGTTAACGTTTGCTCCTTGATTTTATTGACCTATCGCACTACTTTAGAGCAGAAAAAGACCATTTGGGTTTATCTTTGGAGTAGATTTTCTTGTGCTGCGGCAGTACGATAAGATGCGTGTCTAAGATAGGTATCAGGAATATCTGGATGGAAAGACAGGACCTAAAATAAGAGTAAAACAGGAGAACAAAAAGGAAACTAGGGCTGAGTTAAAGAAGCCTTCTTAGCTCACCCGTGGAACTAGAAGCTTGTGTTTCTGGTTTTGTATAGATTATAAAGCCTCCCATAATCTCAGAAGTAGATTGGGGTGTATTAGAGTGGAAGACAGCGCAAACTGTCCAAAAGACTTACTTGCCCCATGTGACCTTCCTAAAGGTTGAGCCACGATTTAGTGGCAGGACTCAACCTCATGATCAGTGAGCTAATAAATCTCCACACTGCCTCTTTGTTCAATATAAGGCACCAATAAAATAAATTCTCATAGCCCTGGGTAATATGAATGCCTTACCTCCTGTACTGGAAAATTTTGAGCCTTCCAGGACTACTTTTCTCATTGTGGTTCTAGAAACCACTTTCCTTGCGTTGGGCCAGTTCAGTTTGCCCTTTCTTCTGTAATAATTTTGCTGTTGTTCTTTTGTCCTTTTCCTGTTAATGCAATATTACTTTATAGTACTTACCAATTCAGATACTTGCCCTGACCCACTGCTTATACCTCTAGCCCAGCCACAGATTAACCTTGGGCCTTTGCATAGAACTGTGTTTCTCCAGGGAGTTTTTTGCGTTTTTTGAGACGGTCTCACTAAATTGCCCAGACTAAGCTCAAACTTGTGATCCTCCTACCTCACTCAGCCTCCCAGACAGTGGGGAGTACTGGGGTGTGCCAGTGCTCCCAACTAGATTCTCATTTTAATAAGCCATATTCCCAGTACTTTCATCTGTTGCTCATAAGACGTGTCCCAAGCCTTTTTACAGCTCCCCTTCCTGGTTGCTCTTAACTGGACTTGTGCAAATTTGTCAGTATTCTTAAAACACTAGGAGTCAGAGAGCTAGGAGGACTTGGCTCTTCAGTCTTCTGGTAAATTCATTTGTACCCACGCTCTGCTCTGTGTGTAAAAAATAACAAACTCAAGGTAGACTTTCAGACTTCAAGATTTGTCTTTTTATTCAAAATCCAAGTTTTCAGTAGATTTTCTGATACTTTTATAGTGCAGCTATATCAAGTTTACAATTTAAATTATGTTGTATACACTTATATTTCAGTTTTTAAAAACACGTTTTACACCATTTTACAACAAAGTTTTATCGGTGTCCTAAATTAGCATTCAAGACAGGTGAGGTTTAAGATTGAAGGCCCATAGGAAAAAAATTGCTGTCAAATTGACCTTCCTAAACCAGGCAGGATGCTACACACCTGTAACCTCAGTATTCAGGAAGCTGAGGCAGAAAAACCAGGAAGAGTTTGAGGTCACATTGGGCTATATCGTGAGTTCAACGCCAGCTGGACTACAGTCATACAACCTGTCTTTAAAAAAAAATGGACATGCTTGCCAGGGGTGGTGGCCCACACTTGTGATCTCAGCTCTCTGGGAGGCTAGAGCAGGAGGATCATAAATTCTAGTTCAGCACAGGCAATTTAGCAATTGAGACCCTGTCTCAAAAATATAAATGAAAAATAAATCAAAGAATAAGTTTCAATTCAAGATCCCAAATAAATCTCTAAGAACTCTATGTCCCTCCACAATATTTGAAGTGTTTTTGAGTAGGGCTCCTAGACTTAAAATTACATGAAAAAATGTGAAATGTTTTATTCACTACTTTTGCTGATTGTATGCATTAAATTTAAAAACTATTCACATGATTCAGTTTGGACATTCGCTAACTGAAAAATCTGAAATCATACATGCGCAAAAACCTGCAATTTTTGTCAGCACTTTAAATTTCCAGGTTGAAGCATTTCAGTTTTTTGGTTAGAAATGCCTAACTTAATAAAATCTGTGCAGATTTTCCAAAATCCAAAAAAAGTTCATCAGTTGAAATACTTGTGGTCAAAGCATTTCAGAGAAAGGATACTTAATCTATACTTAAAAAATACTTTATTGAGAACCACTGTACTTACAAGCAGGCAGCCATAAGTTCGATTCCCGGTACCGATTTAAAAAAAAAAAAAGAGAGAGAGAGAGAACCACTGCAATGGGTTCTTGCAGTGAAGGAGATAGATTTGAGTCAGGTGAAGGTTTGTAACCAAGGAGTAGTGGTGGTTGGAAAATTACTGAATCGTAATCCTCATCTGGGTACGTGGTAGGCTAGCTAAGTCACCTGACAGGGTTCTTGCTCAAAATGAACAGGGTAATGAGATGCCCCTGGGGAAAGGTGATGACTAAGGAACCTGCTAACGAATTAAGGATGTTGAGATACTCAGGATGCGGGAGTCACAGAGGAGCCAAGGAGATTACATGAGAGCCTAATCAAAGGTTAGCCAAGTGAGAATCTTTATTCCACTGTGCAAATGATAATATTGTGGATATGTGTTGGGTTAAATAAAATGTATAGCTGTAATTAATTTTACTTATTTTTTAAAGTAGCTGCTAGAAAAGAAAACTGTAAGTGTCAGACTTAAGCAGTGCTATTGTCAGAAAGTCCTGTGCAGATACAAGGTGTCAGAAAACACTTAAATTGAGTTTGTGGCATGAAAGCATCCACAGGCTCATTTATGTGGTTATTTTTTTGTCTTCAGTTGTTTTTCTCAGCTTATCTTGCTCTGTAGAGTGGGGTTTTTTGCACTCCTTCGTACTAATAATTGTATGAATGAAATTATTGACAACATATAACAAATTATGACATGAAGATTTGTTGAAATATATGCATATGTTTGCATATATATAGTTTCCTTAAACTATATATATATGATTTTTTTGAAAGTTACATCCTGGATTCCCTTCCTACCCAGGAACTCTAGTTTTTAATATTAATGTGAGGTAAAATGTCTTTTTAAACAGTGTAATGATGTTTATACATAAAGGATTTTGAACCATAGTATTTTATGTCTACAAAAACATGCTTTCATTTAATTACAGGAAATTATCTAGGATTGACCATATTTTCCATGAGGGATGAAGGCAGAAAATAAAACACATATTGTGTGGTTTAAAATTTTAAACTACTATTCAAATTTTAACTGAAGAAAAGGCTTGTATTCTCTTACTAAAATTATCCCCAACTGTTCTTTGGAAATATATATATATGTAAATGAGATTCTTAAATTCAGATATTCTTCCCAGTTGGTTCAAACACCTCCAGTATTACTAGATTTGAGAAAAATCTAGAGCCTTACATATTTTTCCACAAATGGTTTAGAAGTGAGCAAGAGTTCTAATCGATTATGAAATTATTAAGACATTTTTAGTCATCAGCATTTGAAAGAAATACAATGTGATAAAAATATGAATGGCAAATCTATCCTCTGAATTTTAGTTTGCTTATTAGTAATCTTGGGAAATTTATATCTACTGGAAGATATTTGCAGGTGTTAAAATAACTTATTAGCACTAAAAATTCAAAAACTTTGTTCCCTCACTATAATTTATATCAGTATCTACAGTTTGTTTATATAACTCTTGTGCTTCAATTTTTAGAAAATAAAACAAACTTGCTATGGTTTTTATAATCAGAAGACTAACCATGACTAGATAAACATTGATATTGTATTTAAAAAGGGTCTAAAATTCAAGTGTTCTTGATAACTATATTTAGATATTGATAAAAAATAAACAGTTCATGCTTAAAGGTTTTTAAAATTTTTACAAAACAGTAAAAAGTTGATGTACTAAATTCATACATGAATGTTAATTCAAAAATGACCTAGATTCGTGCAATTTTATGTCACAATTTAAGATTTAAAGAGTTGTCTTATTACTTTTCCCATTGTTGACACAAAATACCCAATACCTGTAAGTTAAGGGAGGAAAGATTTATTTAGCTCACAGTT